AGAGAGAGAGAGAGAGAGAGAGAGAGAGAGAGAGAGAGAGAGAGAATAATTTCTCTAAAACTAACAAAAGTAATAAAAATGCTTTTTCGGGTTTAAAACAGAATGGTCTAAATCAAAGCAACAGAGGTGTCGAGTTTTCCAAATTTTTGGTTCTCTGTTTGGGTCAAGTTCCAGAAACACCGGTTTCTACATTTCCCGTAATGCAACCAATCTATTAGTTTGACCCTCCCTGCCTCTGGTCTTTGAAACTCAAAAGTCCCCGGTTTTCAACGCTGGACTATAGTTTCCTGTGGAATGCTTCTTTAAAAGACGTTCTTTATCCACAACTCAGGGGCGGTGTTATAGCTTATGGACCTTATCCACTGTTTATTAATAATCAAAGTGGATCATCACTATATATGTGGTAATAAATGTATAATAATAAATATATGTAATGTGGGTATATTTGAATATAACTACAGAAAACCAAAACCTTTTTTATTGAAAACATTTTTGAAGATTGACTCCTCCTGAATCTAAAATGTCAACAGCCTCAACAGAAGATAAGCATGCAAATTTCCAAGCTTGGGTGTACGATAAGTAGCTTAATAATATTTGGCTTAAAGCCAGTTTTTAGTAGAGAATTAAACTGACAGGTTTGCATCATGGGTCCTGTTCTAATTCAAGCATTTTTCCTCCGAGCACCACAAAGAACAATTTGCCTTCGAGCACAACAGTGCGTGTGTAGCCAACTGCCGATCAAAGCTCATTTTAACCTACAAAATAATGAACAAACATATCGAGCTGCCATGTGGTGAGGTTGATTAAAGCTGTCATTTGTGTTCAGGGATGCAGGTTTGATCCATTCAGTCGACACACGCTAACCATCTGCCGCTGACAGTGTTACGGTGAAAACATAATGATCCCTGAGGAAGGAAATAGATTGTTGTAGCAGCAAATGTAAGATTCAGCAAGAGGTGAAAAAAAACTGAATGCAGCCACACAAACAGCATTAAAGATGAGAAATACCTCCAACAAAAAAAACAAAGTCAAGTCATCTAAAAAACACTGAAGTTATGTAAACATGCAGCAGAATCTTCTTCCCTTCAATTATTGATATTCTAACAGAGACAACAACAGTATTATTTACATTTGAAATAGTTTATTAAATGACTAAAACGTCTCCACAGTGTTACACGCTAGTGGGGAATATAGTTGTAACAATTTTCTCCCAAATAACCTTCGATTTTGAATTTGTTTAATGAATGTTTTGTTTTTGAAAGAATAATAAGTTACCCGAGACCATTTTTGAACTACAATACTGCATTATATTAATAATATAATAATAATTAATAATAAATGATATACTAATATATCAACTGGCAAATTACAGTTTCAACATCTTCAATCTAACCACAGAGAAAACTGCAGATTGTCCAAAGAAAGCTTCCCAGAATATTTAGTGGTGCTAACCCTACACTAACCTTCGATTTATCCTGTGATGTTTTAAGAATAGTTTTACTAAAGCAACACACCTGTCAATATTCCAGCTTTTTATAGGTTGCATTAATGTGCACTTCACACTTGGTTTCTTTTACCAAAGACTGGTGATTACTTTTATTCTCATTCAACTGTTGCTCAGATGGATCTGTGTCTCTTTTCTTGTCTGGTTGAACCATTTGTACAGCATTTTGTTCTCCATAAACAAAACATGATTTTTACAAACCCTTCAGACAAAATAACATTATTACTAAAGAGGACTTTCTACAACCTTAAAGCATGAAAAATATTTCAAAGAAATTGAGTATCATCTGTCTGTAACGAATCAAGCCTTTTTGGCAGGAGACCACAAACTTTTGAAAGGTAGTGTGTATGAAAGAGTATGGATTCATTGCTGTGCTTTGTTAACTCGTAAATGTTACTTATGACATCTGCATGATTAGCTACAGTAAATGTGGTGAATGTCAGTAATAAATCACACCCAACTACTGTTAGTGAAAACAGAGAGTGGAGATTTCTTGCTCAGTGCCCAAGCAAAATGAAACTTTGGGGAAATAAGCAAATAAACAATACCAATGTATTGGGGTCCTGGGGGTGGAAAGCACTCACACTGAACTTTCTTCCTTTTTGATCATCGTTAAAGGCCTTTTGGGGATTTTTTCCTTCAGATCCAGGAGTGCATCTGGATTTTAGGATATATCAAGAAAATTGCCCAATGAGATCAGATAGAGGAACAATATGGGACTGATACTTATTCCAAACACTTGGTGCTTGAGGGAAAACTCTGCATTTTGGACACTATGTGATCATGGATAGGCCACACAAAACAAAGAGGAGAAAATAATGACAGGGACAGATTTTAGTACACAAACCTGTCAGCAGACGCTGCATCTGCTGCCTGCAACCAGGAGACTCCCTCAGCTCCGGGCTCTCCAACATTGAGTTTACTCAATCACCTCAAGAGGACCTGCTCCGATGCCGAATCTGACCTCTCTGCAGCCACCATCAACCTCCCCCCTGGGCTCACCTGACACAGCCTTTGTCTTGGACTAGAGCTAGTGCTGCAAAAATAATGCAGGTGGTTGGAGCTGCAGTATTTTATTGTCTTATCTGAGTGCTTCTGCATAGTAGGTGTGCCTGTCTCCCACTTTATCTGTACACTGCTCAAATGTCAAACTCAACAAAGCACACATGACATTTCTTAAAAACAAGAGTTTTTTTTATTGTTGAAAGTCAAAGGAAAGACCTTTAGAAATGCAACTGTCCACGTGTGGCTGGTATTGTTTTTGTGAGTCTGTGTGTGTCTAGCTAGGTGTCTATAACTCTGTCTCTCTGTGGAAAGATTTTGTCACTGTGATAAATCTCAAAATGTAGTCACAAGTTCGAGTCGGAGAATTAAAGACGCTCAGTGAAGCCACTTCGAAAAATCGATTTATTTACAGACAGACTTTACATGGTAGTACACAATGCAAACTTGTGATTATCTCCAAATTCATTTTAGGTCCTTCTTCATTGAATAATCCCATGTTTTGCCGAGGGTCTCGTGTCTAAGAGTCCGCAAATCTCAAAAAAAAAAGTCTCCAGTGCGTTTCCAGCCCGGAGACGTTTGTCCCCCGTGTCCCCGTCTCTCTGTTGCCATGTTTTGTGTCGCTCTTCGCTGCCCAGAAAAGGCAAACATTTCATAAATATAATCTTACAAAGGACAGAAAGGAGAGAGGAATTTAGGCTTGTTCGTCACTCAACAAAATATTTTGTGACAGTTTTAGGAATTCAATAAAGTCCACATTACACTTGTCATACATTGTTCATGGCATTATGACAACCACTTGATAAAGTGCACGGTTAGTTGTAGCTAAACATCTTACATTTTGGAATACGAAAGCATTACGCACGAGTTATGACAGTTACAGGTGGACAACCAGAGACAAAAAACAGCTACACGAGGTCTATTTTTCACCAGGCTGAAGTTATCGGCTGGAGCTTGGTAAACCTTTACGGTCTATGATGGACAACGAGGACTGGCCATTGTCCAAAACCTGGAGAGGCAAGACTCCCTGCGTTTCTCCCTGCGTAAAATAGCGCGTCCCGTCGCCCTTATTGGATATGGATGAAGTGGGCACTCTCCAAAACAAACCGCTGAGCATCTTCCTGATCTCTGGCCTCATCAGACAGTAAAGCACCGGGTTCAAGCAGCTGTTTGCGTGCGCCAAGCACACAGTGACCGGGAACACATACGTGTGCATCATGTAATATGATTTATCCCACTCGACCACGTTAAATTTGACCAAGACACCCCAGAATGTGATGGCGTGGTTTGGCATCCAGCAAACGAAGAAGGACAAAACCACAATGGCGACAGACTTGGTGACTCTGGATCTCCGTTTCGGGTTGCTGGTGCTCATGCTCCTCCGCCTTACGAAGCGCAGGAGCATCAAATAGTTGACACAGACTATGAACATAGGGATGATGAAGGCTATCAATATTTTCTGGATGTGATAGAGGGCGAGCCAGTCATGTCCATCGGGGAACTTGAGGAGGCAGAGTTTTTCTCCGGCAACCACAGTCACGGTGGAGAAGATAGATGTCGGAGCCGTGGCCACCGTCGCCGCCACCCACAGCACCGCGCACAACCACTTGACGCGCCCTGACCTCCTGTACGCTTTTTTCCTCAGGGCCGAGGTGACTGACCAGTAGCGGGTCACACTCATGGCAGTGAGAAAAAAGACGCTGGCGTACATGTTCATCACGGTGACCGAGAGGATGATTTTGCACATGGCGTCTCCAAACGGCCAGCTGAAGTCCAGCACGGTGTCCACGGCCCAGAAGGGCAGAGTGAGCACGAACTGGAGGTCCGTCACCGCCAAGTTGATGATGAAAAAATTGATGGTGGACTTCTTCCGACCTTGTCGTAACCTCATGAGGAAAAACACAAGCAGATTCCCCACCAAACCTATTGCGCAAACTACAGAGTACACCACGGAGATGAGTATCCTCAGGATGGGAGTGCCGTCCGCGCTCACGTCGATGTCTTGGAAATTGAATTTCTCATCGCCAGGTGAACTCCGGTTAAGTCCTCCGCTGTGGTTAAATATGTCATCCATGTTTAAAGTAGGGACCCGGACTCGCAACTAGGCGTTCTGCTGCGCGCACAGGCTAGACGTAAACACAACACAGGTACACCATGCTCATGTGTCTGAGCTCTTCATCCCCATTCAATCAATCTGAGTCTGCTTTTATACAGGTGTGTCGCTCCGCTGCTGAGCCGCGATTGGTCGCACAAGACGTGACTGCAGCAGACAGCCAGAGTCCCAGAAATGAGCCAAAGCATCCCGAAAACAGCAGCAAACACAAGAGCACGACTTTGCTGATTGGTCTCCATGAATTTATTTTTCTAATTCACAGCATATGCGCTTAGTAGGCATGTGAAGGTATGCTGGATAAGTGACAACTTTTCATCAAGAAAGTAAAATACAGGAATTAAGAAACGAAGATAAAAGTGAAATCCTCCTCCACATTTGTGAGCATCATCTCCCAAATCAGTGTGCGTTAAAGCGCTTCATTATTAACATGCTTATTATAACCGAGGGGTGTGATAGGAATTGATGGACAAGCTTCTAAAACACATGTGCACAAGTATTCTCCCTGCATCAGTGGTCCACAGTGCCTCCATTCTTCCGCTGGAGGGGGCGCTAACTCAAACTGATGACAACAAAGTAATACAATGAAGTAGAGCGTGTTGTTGTTTTTCAAAGCAGACTTTATTCCAGTTTAAAACAAGTACATACATGACCGCAAAGTTGTTGTATTTTTCATATCAGAAACCTCACTGAAGTGCTTTCTTCCGAGAAGGTTTGTAACAATGCTCAGACCGAAGCCGCTGAGCTGTCATCATTTGTCTGACTTCAAGTGAACGCAACAATATCGGAACTGGTCCTCATGTGACCCGCTGAAAACCCAAAGGACCTCAGTTGTGGGATCTGCCAATTGGATTGAAGCGCTATATCCGATTTCTTGGAGTAGCATTCCCCTTTAAGCCCGCAGACCAGCTGAAAGATGGCCCATTGTCTTAAGTCCACCCATCTGTGGGGGTGGCTCTGCGAAAGTTTGCAGGGGGAAACATTTTTAAGCTGTCACTTGGCTGCTGGTAGGAGACTGATGGAGGACAGAAGGGGCAGCTACTCGCAAGCAAACATTAACACCGACGTCCAAACGAGTGTGAAAAGACCGAGGATGCAACAAAGACAGCGCATGGAGGCGGACAATGTCCGGGCCTGAATTGGAGAAGTTTGTTGACACTGTCACAGTTTCATTGCATGCTCCGCAACAAAGCGAAAACGCGCACCCAGCCCAGATGGAAGTGATTTGAATTGACAATCGACGCGCTGTTAGAAAGGCCTTAGTAAATGTTCCCAAAGTACAGTCTGCCTTCTTGACAAAATGACCCGTTTGGACTGCGGGTTTCACGCTTCTGGACAGGGAGTCTCTCCCATTCACCTCTTCATCGCACTTCTGACGGTCCTGGAGAACTGCAGAACATTGGGACTATCACATGGACCAGGTCAGTAAGCCTGAAACTAAACGTGTCAAGCTTTTTCAGGCTATTGCCACGTCCTCTTAATGTTTTGGCTGCTTTTTGTTGTGCACATTTGTTTCAGAGTGCATCTAATTAAGCTCAGAACCAGGCCAGCAGTCCTCACTGTGGAGGGGAGGCCAGCTGTGACTTGTGTTTACAAAGTTTTCTTCCGACCATAGTAATTAAAACCAAGGTTTTTGCAGCTCGGTCTGGGAGCTGGAGATACCTTCTTTCCGTTGAATCATCAGAGGTTTAGTCTCCGCGTAGGAAAGCATCTGCACTGCCCTTGAGCCAACGCACAGACTCCCAGTGCAGCTGACACTGACCTCTGACCTCACCGGTGAAGGTCAGGAAACAGAATTTGTCTTTGGGTATCTACAGGATGCATCATCATTCTCGTAATGGAGCCGGTTTCCATTCTGCTTTGCAAAGTGTATCACTTTTCAGGCCCAGTGGGTATCATCACATCAGAGAATCAACCCTCCATTGTCTTGTAGGAAACGCTCGCTGGCCTTCACTCCAAACATGTTCGACCTCCCAGTCTTCCCTCTAGTTCGTGGTTTGGATGTTAACAGTCACAGTTATCCTGAGATACCAGGTACAAGCAGAACAGAGTCTGGATGCACTCCGTCTAAACCTGTGTAAATCAAACAGAAATGATTTCAGGTGATAAATGTTGCCACAGGGAGCTTAAAGTTTATCTCTAAACTGCTGAAAAATCCAAATGAAGAAGCTCTGGGACACAGGCTTCCTTTTTAATACGTTTAAGGTAGTTCTTTATTCTTTCTTGCTGTACATAATTGTATTTATTATAGCAAAACACGTAAAAGTAGAGCGAGGAAACAGCCATCCGAATGCCAGTCATCATTTCTAGCCTTCTTTGTACCCAACTTGGTGAAATAAATGTTGTGTTTTCCCCCACATTGTTAACCACCTCCTCCAAGCTCAGCTGCTCGCAGTTATTGGCATTTTCTTCACAGCGTCTTATTTTTGAAACTGATGGTTTCTCTAAATTGAGTTTCACATCCCAGTCCTTTCCTCATGGCAAATAACTGCATTGCCAAACACATTTACCTCGCATGCACTGATGTATTCTTGAAAATATTTGTGCAGATAATCCCATGCAAGGAGTGAAACCATATCTGACCTCATCACAAATCTGTGTGCGAGATCTCTGTTTGCCTTCGGCTCATTGCCTTTGAGTGACAATATGCTAATGCTGGCATAATGTTTAAGGAGGTCCTTGTACGCTGACAGATTACCTTCGTACATGCGAAGGCAGTGTGTCTGGAAATGATGATGCTATGGTATGACAACCCCTTAGTGAAAATCATCTTAAGGAACGCATTGAAATTGAACGTTAAAATAAATGTAATTGTTCATATATCCAGTAAACAAACCTTGTATCAACAAAAGTGGTGCAGCTGCAGGATTTTAGTCCTTTGGCTTCCCCTATTTAAAAAAGACAACTGGTCCCAATCTCTTAAAAACATCTAAGATACTTTTAAATTATAGTTTCACAAGTTTTCAAGCCACACCTCACTTTTTTTTAGACATTGATTGTTTGATGTAATGAATTGAAGGAAAAAGATATGCGATGTTAAGTAAGACTTAATCTCTACAATAAACTGGAAACATTCAAATGCATTTCATGGGACAAATGTGTACTACAGTCATCAGCAGCCAGACTGTATAGAACTGAGAAGAGCAGACTGCTTGTAATCCCTCACATTTTCTTTGCCCATACAGGAATTTGGTAGTTCAGATACTTATAAGTACAGGAAATTAAGCAAACACATTTTTTTATGAGGGTAATGAATTTCCCCGACTTTATCAAACCGGTGGCATATGAGAGTAGAAATTCAGAGAAGGATAATGGACACGAATCCAGTGTTCCTCTAACAGGCTCGGCAAACATGAAACAATGACAGATGAGACACCCATATGGGTTTATTTAGAGCTTCCCCGCTTTTATTTACGGCTTTACAGCCACTTTAATTATTTAATTGCCCTCCTCTTTCCCATGATTTATTAACCCATCTTCTCTCACATCTTCTCTTCCCACCATGGTTTTCACAGGGAACTTTCAGCAGGATCTGCCTCAGTATGAAGTGGTTCACCCCACTAGAGTGGATGCCAGAGGTCACTTCCTGTCCAACTTCCTGTCTCACCATGCTCGCCGCGTACAGCGGCGGGAAGCGTCAGTTGGACCAGTGGCCGTAGATCGAGTCTTCTACCAGCTGTGGCACGGCGGCCACAGTTTGCACTTTAACCTCACCCTCAACCCACACCTGCTGGCTCCGGGCTTCCTGACGGAGAGGAGGTATGGCGGCCTGGATGGGGCCAAGATCCATCCCGCTGGAGCCTCCCAGTGCCATTTCTTAGGTGAGGTGTGGGACGAGGCCACCGGTAAAGGAAGCGCAGCCATAAGTACCTGTGATGGACTGGTGAGTAACTTTTAAAAGATTGAAGTCCAATTGGATGTTGTATCTAAATGCATTTCAAGTTTAACACGGAGGTGTCAGCCACAGCAGGGGGCTGTATTCAGAGCTGAGTTAAGTGATTGTTATGAGCAATTCACATCAAAACTGCAGATTGACCTGAGGGTCTTTTAGACAGCTACACACCCTGGATGTGTTTTCCACCAAACATAGGTGTCTGACGTCATCGGCTATCCAGACTTGGAGCTTAAGAGCATAACTCCAGCCTCAAGATGTACACAGTCTGACAGTTGAAACCACAAATTGTCCCAGTTAAACATGGTATTTGCGAGCAGTGGAGCATATACTGTACAAACGCTCGCATGCAGAACCACCTTCAGGCTTTGCTGTAAACCTTGACTGTATACTTCTACCGTGTAACTGTTGAGGCTGAAGAACAAAGTGACACTCCCTTCAGTGCATTGATTCTGTTCAAAGACTGTTCCTTCAAAATGCAGCGAGCCATTCATGTAGCGCTCTGCCTCTGTGATCGCAGGTGTGTGCTCATAAAGGAGCATGTTTTTTTTAGACTGCTAAGGGAGTGGTCTGCGATTGTACATCGACAACAGACTATTTTTAATCTTGTTTTGTTTTTTTATTCTCCAAATGCTGCAGTAAAACTGCTCCTCAGTAGGCTGGTCCGTGACTATCAAACATGCTGAATTTCCTTGTACCACACACACACAATCGCCATTTCTTCGTTTGAATAGCAAATTAATGTGATTATCACAGAGATTGAATAATTCATTTGTTATCTTGATGAATTATTAATCACAACCTCATTTAAAGGTTCTATATACAATATTCAGAGCATTAATATAGCAGCAAACAACTATGTAAAGATGTAGAGGAGCTTCTCTGTTCTTTGCTTCCGTAGCCATTACGGCCGTGCATGCATGTTGGTGCATGTGAGTCTCTTTGTTGTTCCCCACTGCTTGTTAATGTCCGCCGCTCTGTACTGCGCTGAGACCGCAGCTACCTCTGATATCGCCCCCCCCCCTTTGCCCCTCTCTGTCTGCTTGACCTTATTCAGCTGTAGAGGCAACCCCGGTGGGAAATGTATCGAACGCGAGACTCGCATCCTCCTCTTAAAGTAAACAAAGATTGCCTTCAGCGTGTAAGAAAGGAAAAGGCCGCTGTAGTCGGTAATAATTCCTTGAGGTTTTGCCTTTCATCAGCACCTTTCTCCAAGAAAACAGGATTCCGATTAACTCGGAGGCTGCTTTATAGTGCACCTGAGGAATTGAATTGTCGCGTGAATACAATCTGAATTGCTCGAGGTAAACGTTACTTTGAGATTCTGTCTCGAGAGCATCGTGAACTTCCTGCAGATTTTTATTAAATCCTCCTGCATCTGAACAAAGCTTTGTCGGGTTAAGATCTAAAGACCGTAGAGTCGCATTCATGTTAGTGTCACGCTCATTCTCCATTGGCTTGCTGGAAATGATCAACTTGAAACGGGTACAGGGGCGCAATCATTCAGCAGCAGCCATCTGCACCACCACCTTTGACACCATCCATGTATTCATGTTGTTCAAAGCTTTATCTGCCCTTAACCTGACCAAAGGCAAATATTTTCTTGTCTTTAATCCTTTCTTCTTCTTTTTTTGTGATCCGTCGCCCACTGTGCTGTTTTTCACCTTAGCTGTCAGAACTATGGACACGCCCTCCTGCCTCTATATTCCCTCTGCTACAAGGTTTTATGTGTACGGAGATTTTCTACAGCTCACCGCTGTTGAAACGCGTGTCTTAGCTTTGCTTTGTGAACTTCTACGAAACCATTTCCACCAAACGAAGGTATCGATGACCGCATGTTTTTGCTCACTGCACCCTTCTGTTACTTTAGATGCTTTCTACACACAAAAAAAATCTCAAAACAAAAGCTGCTCTTGAGAAGTTTGAATCACCTTGCATTAGTTCATACCCGGTTGATATGCAATTGGAGTTCTACAGATCACACGTCTTACCAACTCTAATGTTCAGCTGAATAGTAACCGAACATCTCGACCTTGTCTGCATTCTGTCAGCATATATAAAGCTGCAGGATTCACTGCAGAGGCTGGCTGTTGCAATGAGCAGGCGAAGGTGGAGGTTTCCTGTAAACAAAGAAAAGTTACCTTTTTTAGATTCAGTGTTTCTCACCAAAACTCATTTGTATCCTTTGGGTCTAACAAATGAAATTTCCTTCCTCTCACAACATATGTCATTTCCTTTTTAAAGGTATTTCAAACCCTGCATTGTTTATATCCATGTTCACTTTAATCAGTCGACTCTCCTGTCTTTGCTGGCACATCGCTGCACTTCATGGTACATTAAGGCCACCTGTGGATCAGAGGAATAGTGGGAAACCGTTGGCAGGACTGTGTACTAGGACGCATGTGCCAAAGAAAATGGGGACCCACTCGTAAGAAAATTGTCCACGGCGCTGCTAGATGTCAAAAACTCCAGAGTCCCGTACACACTTTAAAAAATAAGCCCTAATTCATGTTTTCAGAGGAGACCAAAAAGTAATCCGACACACAAAAATGAACTTCAAAGGCATTTCGATGGATAATTAATTGTTAATCCTTTGCAGACATTTACTTTCTGAAGCTTACAACCCATAAACATCAGCAGATGCATGGTTTCCACATTGGTGGCGCTCTGCCATCTCTGTGCAGCAGCCGGCTTTGCTGCTTGCTCGTTTTGGGGCTTTTTGGCTTCAGTGTGGTCTGCAGCAAGTGATCATCAGCTAGATTGAAGTCAGCTTGACTGCTGTGGCCAGTTATGACCATTCTTCTGTTTGGTCCAAAAAGACTCCTTGATTTCTTCTTCATGTGGGTTTATTTTAGTCCTAAAGATTATCCGAAGCCTTTGGCAAACCTGAGATGAGCATTAATGTTTGCCTGTGATTAATCAAGTATTACATGTGTGTCCTTGTGGTGGAGGAGTAATGTAAACTGCATCGTGACTGGTTGACATACAGCAGTTTTGTCCTGCTTTCTGTTTTCTCTCTGCACCTTTCTTGTGTGGAATTTTAAAAATGCAGTTTGTTAATTGGAGAAGCTGGCTGTTGTACGAGCAAGTGTTGTTGATGAAGTGGCGCGTGCGTGTGTGGGTGTTAATGTTCTAGTACTGGTCTCCATCTGCTTTATCTTTGAAGTCTTAATGAATTCATAAAAAATGTCACTTTTCATAAATTAATCGGTAAGTGGGGTCATTTCATTGTATCTGGACAAAAGGCACTTAAAGTACGAGTGTATGGGGCTTCAGACCTGCTTAGCTGAAGTATACAGATTATAATTATTCAAACTCAATGTTTTTCAAAAGATTATATAACATATAAGTCTATTATTGCTTCTGTTGTTGCACTGGGACATGATTGGCATCACACCAATCAAATAACTACTTTAGCAATTAATGGTCTAAAGAAATACTTATTTTCTTTAATAACTGATTGCTGACATATCTGTGTACAACTAAAGAAGCCTTGTAAGAGACAAAACACACCCTTGTTGATGTCGAGTATTTGGCAGCACCTCCCATCCCAACCCTCTGTGACTGATTACTGAGGAGGTTAGGAATCCATAGATCTAAACTGTTGCGACCTGACATGCTGTTGAGATGCACGTCGGCTCTTTTTGATCCGAACATGAGCATACGTATGTGATGGTGTACAAAGGCAGTTGTCCTCTGATTCTTTATAGTTTCAAAGCAAATATCAACATGTCAACCAAAGCCTGTGCAATTTTCTCTGTTGCTGAACTCAAAATGTCAAATGGATATCTTCTCTATTTCTTACTGGAAAGATTGTTGACCTAACCTTATCTTGGAAATATCAGGATTGTGTCATAGTAAAGGTTTTCTTAAAATACAATAATGTAAGAACTCAATGAGCTACTGGTGGAATACATGTTTTGGAGGTTTTGCTGGTGACAGTGGGGCGGAGACTACTTGGTATTTACAGAGATTCACAAACAAACAAACAGTGCAAGGATGAATGTTATTTACAGAGCAGAGGGCACATGATGGAAAGCAGTCTCAACCACTCAGTCTAAATATTGAATAGAACATTACAGCAATGTATAGTGCAGTGTGATTGTAACAATGGGGAATGTCTTGTTTGCATTTCTCCTGTGTATTTAAGCTAAAAGCATGAGTCAACTGGAGTAAATAATGAATACAAACATAATGCTGTTTTGCAGATATTGTGAAATCTTGCAAAATTACAATACAAAAAAAACCATGGGTACAAATGAATGTAATAAAAAAACTACTGGTTACTAAAGGTTTTTATGTGCACATGTTTTGAGACCGTTTAAAGTTATTTGTTATCACGTGCACAAAATTACAATGAAGCAGTCATTGAAGAACTTGAGAAACCTTGAATCTCAGGCTCCGTTCAACAATGCTCTATAAATATTAAGGCCTATGTATGAAACAAAACATTTAAAATCACACAAGTAAAATGAGAATGTAAGACATGAAATAGTGCTATTTCAAATATAGGGCTAAAATATAATCTGACCAGTTTAAAAGAAAACACTGAAGAAATGAACTTGAACTAGCTCATTTTTTTGTGAACTTAGCTCCAAATTTTAAATTGTGAACAATGTAGGTGAACTGTTTCATTTGAATCTGTGTGACCTGAACTTTGCTAGCTGTTTCTCAACACTGCTCCTAGTGCACTGCATTTTGCCATAGTTATGCACTCAAAATAGCAAGTGTAAGGACAGAAGAGCGCTCTCCTTACTCGACTTTCCCCATGTGTTACTGTACATGTATTCTAGCACCAGCCCTCCTGTCTGTCAGAGTCACAGAGTCCCAGTGAAGCTGATGGGACCAGAAGGTGGACAAGAACTATATATGGGGCAAGGATGGTCAACAGAAAAAAGAGTGGGGCTACTGTAATTTGGTTTTGGCACCGTGCCAGCGTGGTTTAGGGTGCGGTCATTTGTGTGACATCTGATCTTTCTCCTGTGTCGGTCACGCCCTGGATGTCTACAGCAAATTTAAGACATCAGGCTGTTTATACTGTTTCACTGGAAGCTTCCAAGTTTTGTTTTTGTGTCCTGGAGACGAATCAGTTTTGTGGGATCCTGGGCCATACTATTACTAACATAACATCAGAAAACTGTAAAATAAGCACAAGGTGGTTGCTTCAAATGTCTAGTTTAATCCAAACAACAGTCCAAACCCCCAAAATACTCAATGTGCTGCAATGTAAACGGCAAACTCTCACATTTAAGAATCTAGAACTACAAATGTTTTGTGAGTTTTGCTTTAAATAATGATATAGAACAATTTAATTGCTCATCATAATAGTTTGGTAGTTAAAGTCTATTGTTGCAGAAGATCAAATAAAATACACGAAGCACATTGTTTTGCTTGAAAGTGCTGTTGAAATATCAAGATATTATTGTAAATGGCTCCGTAAAAAGAGATGAGGAGACCTGACCTACAGCCCTTCTTTTACATCAGACAGGACTGTTCAAGTTGTCCGATGAAGAGTTCTTCATTCACCCTCTGGAGAAGTCGAGCGATGACTCCTCAGGCCCACAGTCCCACGCCATCTACAAACGCCAGGCGTCCCCTCCCTCCCGGAGTCCAGTCGTACAGCCCATCTCAGGGAGACAACCTCTCAACGGTACCTGTGGAATCACAAGTAAGTCACTTTTATTTTCACCACGCATGCACACAAACGTGTTTGCACCATTATTAACAAGTTTTTACAATACTCGTTCATTCCTTGAAATTAACTAATACAATCCAGTCACATGGCAAATGTGAGACTCAGAGCCCTGACTGAATGAAGAATGAAGCTGATGGTTGACAATATTTTGTTGTCCCTCTCTCTTTAGTCCGTCTCCAGCTGATAATCTGCAGAGCAGAGCTCATAATTCTGCTTCTTTAAATTCTGACCCTGAAAATAATTGGAGCATCCTGCAGAGAAAATGTGCTTTGACTTTGTGAATAATTAGGACTTTGCACAGCGTTTGCCACATGAATCAGTAAAAACAAAAGGAACGCCTTTCCTTTCTCTTCCAGACATCAATGCGGCAGTGTGTGTAATACTAAGTGGCAGTTTTAATACTTTTGAAAGAACAAATCATGCTCAGGTATCGGATTTATTATTTTTTCTATTCAGGCACCTGCTGATGTAAATGACACTGCTCACAGAAGGAAATAGAAGTACAAAGTATCAGCGTTATTACCGTACGTAGATCGATGGATGGATGCAATGTACTGTCACGATAAAAGAAAATCATTGTGTGTGTGTGTGTGTGTGTGTGTGTGTGTGTGTGTGTGTGTGTGTGTGTGTGTGTGTGTGT